TTTGTTGCGCAGAAATGGTTGAAGATGCTAATCTCCTGATCAGAATGGCCGAGAGGTGATTAGAAGCTGGGGCAGATTATAATGATTGATGCAGATGACAACTGCAAGGATGTAATTGCAACGTTCGCCGGACAACTAGGTCTTGAGAAGACCATGTTTGAAGCATCAAATGCTAAAACTGCAGAGTGGTTTATCAAAAGATATGGTCCAAAGGTATATTCCACTGTCTCTCATTTAACCATATGGTGAAATCCAGTGTTTATTAAACTCGCTGTTGCTAATGGCATGCTTTCTTTCTCAGGTGAACCTCCTTGTGGATCATTCTCAAGTAATTGGTCTAGAGTGCCTCCGAGGACACAGCATGGGTAGAAGTTGTATACTTCTCTGCCCTTGGCTTTGCATACTTTCACCTCTGAACTGTTGCGTTGTGAACATAAAATACTATTCCCCTTTTTAGCCCATTTTCTTTTTCTTTTTTCCTTGTGATTTCACGTTTATAGGCCTGCCTAAATTGATGGCCAATTAAAGCACATTGATTAAGGAAAGACAAGATTCATAGATAGGGGATTGCAACTAAAAAATGTAGCAATAAAACATTTTTTTTTTAACTTGGGGTTAAACATATATTTTGGTTATTTAATTTTTTAAATTATAAATTTTTGGTCTCTAACAATTTATAAAATTCAAATTTGATTTTTTTTTATTCTAGTTCCTAGTTTGAAAAATAAGAGATAAAATGATTGAATTTTGGTGTTAAAAAAATAAAGTTTTAGTTGAAATTGATTTGAGCTATGAAAACTAGTGATTTTGATGTCAATAAGCTTTTTTCATGGGAAGAGTTTATCCAAAGTGTTCTTAGATTTTTTTTGTTTAAAATAGACTTGCTCGTGTTTTAGTCAAATAAAAATCACTAAAATTTAGATAGGATATGCAATACATCACTTGCTATTTTATTTTTCAAAACATTAAGTAATAGGTGACTTATCGTCCACTTCTTATATAAAAAAAAACATATATGTAATAAACACATGGATTGTTTTAGATCCACTTGCTTAGGTTTTATTTTTCTAGAAAATTTTAGGTTGTTCAAGCTTGAGATATCGAGCCTTTTTTTTTCATCTTATAATTAGATTTTAAAAAAAAATTATTGTTTATTTTTTTAATTTTATTATTTAATATCTAGTTAATTATTAATTTGACCATATAATTTGTTTTAATTTGATTTTTTTTATCAACTTGATATTTGGTTGGTTTTTAAATTTAAATATGTTTATTTTAAATTAAAAAATTATTGAATCCAATTAATTCATCTATTAGGATTATAAGTTTAATTAATTATCTTTGGTGGGGTAAGGACCTGAGCGTTATATTTTTTTTTGTTATATAAATAGTTTTTAATTTATTTAATTAGATATATGTATAATTATTTTAAATTTCTCTTGAAATTATTTTAATGTACAAAAACATGTTGAAAAATTTATATATATAATTTTTCTGAAGAAAAAAAAAAATGAACCGCAGTAAAATACAGATCAAACAGCTAGTTTAGCGTATTCCTTGCAAGCTGTTATGCCACTCTTCAAGTTTGTGATACACTCACACACATGTTACAAAGGAGAGCTGGAACTCGAGACCTTCGGGTGTGTTAGCATATCAATACAGTAAAAGGTCTTATGCAATATTCTAAAGCATTATTTTATCTTTAACTCCACATCAATCTTTCCATCACTAATAGCCACTAACCCTTGAGGCCGTGGCTGAAAGAAATTAAGCCTGACTTCTGTAGCTATAGGCAGTAAATACACCTCCTCCGATATACTAATTTGCATCATGAAGCAAGTTCTTGTTGTCGTTGCTGTGAAGCTTCCCTAAGCACCACCTAGTTTGACCCTAGTATAATATCTTCCTTATGGCCTTTACCTAGAGTTTAAGCGTGTACCTGACATGCTGAACCATTGAATCAGGTCTCAGGAACTGCACCTTTAACTATACATCAAGTATCCCATCTCTTTTCCTAATTTAATATGACCAAAAATAGATTTATAAATGATGGAACGAAGTAAAATGCACATAGATTCCAAGAACAGGAATTATATATGAAGGCATCAAGGAATTAACATGGCTAGACCACAACCATTTTTTATTGGCACACGCTGAAGTCTGTGACCTCTGGACACTCCACACTGAGTGAAAGCAAAACTTGAATCTTGTTATGGCCACAAAGAACTTTGTTGGAATGTGTAAAACCTGCAAACTCAAGGAGTTGCAGATGTTGAGTCACCTATTACACTCAGCTCAGTATGGCAACAACATTTACCTATATCCTTGCCACTCGGAAGCTTAATAGTCCAGTCACACTCGTTTGTGTGGATTACAATGGTTATTCATCAAATTAAACTGAAAATGAT